ACCATGGCAATATCGGGCACGTATCCTCGATTGACGATTTACATGGATTTGTACAATAAACGCTGTTCTGCAGGGCGGTGTTGCCGGCGAGGCTCTGTGCACCACCATGGCAATATCGGGCACGTATCCTCGATTGACGATTTTACGTGGATTTGTACAATAAACGCTGTTCTGCAGGGCGGTGTTGCCGGCGAGGCTCTGTGCACCACCATGGCAATATCGGGCACGTATCCTCGATTGACGATTTTAGTTGTTGGTGACTGCCATCTGGGTCACGACTTCCGCGCCAGCGTCGGTGAGCCGCCAGACTCTGCTCTGTCCGAGTAACGCGGTCCGATGGAGCGCACTCGACGGCTTCACCTTCACAACACCCCAGGCGATCCTGCGAGCGCCTTTGCAACTGCAGGAAACATCTGCAACTGGCTCGTTCCAGTGGTAGAAAGCTCAAGTTATCACCGTGGTACCGGACCGTCGTGTGTCGCATGTTGGCCACTTCAAGTGCCTTTGCACGAAACGATCATTGTAATTCGGGTGATTCAGACGAGCTTCCGACAAGAAATCGCTAGGTTCCCTTCACCACACACACATCCGTATCGGGATCGATGCGCTCTGCACATTAGCCACAGCTAGCCTGCCGGTAGAAGAATGTGAGCCTCATCTTGGTCGGAGGCATCGCGCTCCAGCCATGCAATATGCGATATAATTAAGCTGATTTCGCAAACACCCAGCATACAGCTGGATCTAAAGCAACCATCTGGTGCGACCATTTTTACTTAAGAAAAGGCTAGTTAAACCCACTGACTCTGTGTTCGTTTTAATGAGTTGTTGAACGACGCTGGCTTGATTTGTGGTTTAACATACTATGGTGATTAGCTTACACCAGATGCAGTCCTGCTGTTAATTTTTTTGTTTTGTTTTACATTTAAGGGAGTGTTCTGCACTTGTGTTGGGTTTTAAGCTGAAATAGCGAACTTAAAGATCATTCGGTGCAGCTCATAGCCGTTCCCTTTTTAAGATCTGAACCTGTATATTTTCCGGGCTACATGCCCGCGAAATGCGCAGACTACTTCGGGGAGACTATATCAAGGTCACCCAGGCATCCATGACGCCACAATGACATCATTCAAATCCTGTCACTTACTTGCTCATGTGTCGATTAAGGCAAATTAAAAATATACTTGTCGGGTCATTCATAATTAGCGTTCGTGAGCACGATTTCCAGATATGACGGCCATGAAATGTCTCTCAATCAATGTGTTGCAAGGTATGGTGATGTACTTAAGCAATGACGTAATAAGGGGCATATTTACTAGGCAGATATATTATGTTGCCTGAAGAGGCATTTTCCACTAAAAGATGTACCAATAGTTATAAGTGAGCGCATCGCACCATATCTGATGCTTGCTTGAATATCTTCAAACGTGGAATATTCCCTCCAATCTCCGGAGCCGTGGGTGGCGTTGGACCATATGGGGCCCGTCACTTATTTGTTTTCCCAAGGGATTGACGCACGTTGCTGAGGCGTGAAACTCAAGGTCTCGTCTCTTTAATATGTACGTATCTTCCCGAAGCGCCGAGCAGGCACTGTTACTGCCATCAGCGTCTGTTGTCACTGCGGAGTTTTGCAACGACAGTACCTGCTTGGGTTGTGCCTCGTCGAAATTGTCTCCGCATTAAATTGCTGAGACAGTTCGCCGTCAAAATTTTCGTAACATGAACATTTTTCTCGTTCACAGTACTTATCTACTCCCGCACCCCAGCCACGCCGGTCTGACCGGAAACCAGTCGTCTGGTGAGCTGGCAGAGTCATAGTTGGTCAGTGTGCTGCCGCTTGGCAAAGTCAAAGTTGGTCAGTCTGCTGCCGTCTGGCAGAGTTGAAGGCGATCCGTCTGCTGCCGCCTGGCAGAGTCGAAGTTGGTCAGTCTGCTGCCGCCTGGCAGAGTCGAAGTTGGTCAGTCTGCTGTCGCCTGACGACGCTGTCTGACGTCATTCCAGTGGCATGCGCATTGAATGTACGGGTCATTTGAAGAGTACTTACTAACAGAATGTGCGGAGGAGCTAGACTCTGGAGACTCACTCAAGCGAGCTTAAAGCCATCAAACCAAAAAAAGGTCACTGCTCGGTCTCGCTCCATATGTCCAGGACAGAGGTAATACGTACGTAGAACGCACGCACCCATGCGTTCGCACTCCTTTAGTACGCTCTCCTTCCGACTGGGCAGCGCATCATGCGCTCCGACACGTGATAAACAGAGGCCCCGACACGTGATAACCGCGGCGAGATGCTGACTGCCAGGCTGTGCTCGTGGACTGTGTGCGGCTTCATACTGGGAGACCATAATACTTAAGACGCGTGGTTACACTGGCCTCCTACAGGTAAACAGCCAGAGATCGAGCTCCACGACAGACTGCTGCTTTTATCTACTGCTGAACTTGACATAATATACTCTCATCAATAGTTCAGGAGGTCATCGAGTCACAAGAACACGCTGAGAGCGCACAGTGACCCTAGGAGCCGAAGCCCTTTTTAATGCCAGTTATCCATCCTTACGCGAGCCGTCGCCGGGCGTTGGGCAGTGTTCCACACTGGGACAGAGGGCGCGGGTGGTAGCGGTGGCGTTGAGCACCAGCTTCAGCAGGTCGATGATGGGATTAATGCCTGCCATCAGTGACAACAATGTAAAGCTCGTTTGTCTTTCGCCTAACTGGTTACCCGGATCTTAGCAAACTGCTGCGGTTGGCGGTCCGTCCTCGACCGCTACCGAGTAAGGCAGGCGGATGTACCCTGTTGCGCACTATGAGATTATTTTGAGTTTCAGTTTATGGCCACATGTAAATGTTGAAATGACGCTGTCCCGCCGCCTCTAGAAATGCAGACGGTCGAGCCAGAAAACCTTGCGCACGGATCGGTGACCCCGCCGGGCAGAAGGGTTCGCGGTGCAGCAGGCACCGGGCAGCAGGAGTGCGAGCTGCTGATGCCGGTTTCGACGCTCGCGTCCTGGCGTCCTGACGTATCGGTTCCTACACCTTCACAGCCCCAAAGTGAACGCAGCGCGACCACGTCGTGCGCCTGCCTTTGGAGCGGGATTGTGCAGTGAAAGAATGAAAGAAAATTAAATTAAACGAGATCCAGAATCCGTCGCTCTTCTATTCAAATGGAAAACTCATGGAATCTTGCGGCATGGAATCATGAAATGCGGTTTGTTGATCATCGCTTGATTACGCTGCTTTGTGGTTGATTTTAATTTTCCATGAGGATTTTTTTCGCCACTGAAGCAACGCAACGCACTACGGACCTGAAGTGCTTTTATTCAGCTGAGTGCTTCACTCAGTACTGCGTGCAATTTAGGTTCTAATTCCGTGGTGGTTTGCCACTAATGATCGGTCCGAAACAAATAGCCAAGCCGACAAAAAAGGCTGACTGAGCCCTGACGTTTTTTTTTAGATTGTTATAGACGCGCGAGAACAGCTGGCACTGAACGGCGCTGGGGACCGTGCCAGCCCCCTCTCCGCCTGCTGGCTGGCCTTCTTGTGTCAGCAGGCCGGCTCGTCCGCCGGTACACTGGCACGGCGACCCTGAGCCGGCTCAGTGGCCCCCTGCACGGCGCCTGGGGCAGAGCTGAGGCGGCTACCGGGCAGCGCTGCCGCAGCCGACCGCCGCACAGATGCAGCGGCCTCCGCCACCGCCTCGCAGCCAACCGCGTCCCGGCGGGGCCCCGGGCCTCCTCTGGCCGCGTCCCGCACCGACCCGGGGCCTCCACGGGCTGCGGCCCGCGTCGGCCGCGTCAACGTACGGTCCGGAGGCCCGCGTCGGCCGCGTCAACGTACGGTCCGGGGGCCCGCTCGGGCCGCGTTTACGTACGGCTCGGGGCCCCCTCGGGCCGTCTATCGTGTATCCTGAGTGGTGCGCTGTCGATCCAACCGCGCATCCAGTATCGCTTGGGAGATAAAAACAAAGCTCAGATTCCGACGGACAGTCACAGGGACCTGAGACGGCGGCTGTGACGGCTGCTTTGGGTAAACTGCATTCCATATGGTAGGGTGACCACACAGTGTACAGATTGAAAACTTTAATATTATCGTGTAAGAAAAATCTTCTCCATATGGAAAACCTTTTGAACGGTCCAACCAATGGCGTGGAGGAAATGGTTTCAAGGTCATCATATAACCAAATCGTATAACGTTAACCAGTATTATGAAAGCAGGCGGCGGAGCGTAGCCACCGGCTTCAAAACGCTTGGAAGCCAGTTGGTTTTCAAAGTGAAAATAAGAGTGAACGGATTTCATGATAAAAAACAATTTTGCTGCGTCTTTCATATTGTTTGGCTGCCAGCGGGCGCTGGTTGAATATCTTCAGTCATCGTATGAATGGGAGGTTTTGTCCGGGGGATGGCCGCTGCTGTCTAGTTAACGTGTCCGGGCTGAGTCGTGTGCACTGTGTGCGGTGCATCATGAGCCAGTTAAACCAGTCGCTTTAAGCTTGATGCATGGCTATTTGACCGCGGGTTAACGTTGAAGCAGCCCGCATGACTCTGATGCTTATCAACAGGGAATAGGCTAATGCTTATCTGATTTATGTCGGGGTGCCATGCAGCGTGTTAAATCCACAACACGTGTGGGTGTTCTGTTGCCAACATGCGCTGGTATGAATCGTAGGCGATTGAATGGAAAGGCATAACGGTGAATGAATACGGACGCATAACTAGTACACTTGAGCTGACTAATCCTTCGACTTTTTGTATCTGGATTGTAGCTTGCCATAATCCGCAGTCTGCTTGTTGGAATGAAATTCAGGCCCCGGACTTTCACCTTTGTCGGCAGATACTTCCACGAAGCCTATCGAATAAGGTGAAGACGCCAACAGGCGTCCGTTTTGGCCTGCTCCAGGCCTTTCGTACTCTTGTCTTTGACAGGTAATTGGTGCCAAAAGTCAAGACCATATAACAAGGCTTAAATTACCAACGAGTGAAGTGTCTGACTACGTTAATAAACAAGTGTGAAAACTGTATCACACATCACATTTATTACACGATGAGATGTCACTTTTCGCGTGGGAACGACATGGGTGTAGACATGGGCCTGCCCTCTTCCGTGTAAATTACGCAACACATGCCGCCAGAGAAGCCACTCACTGATACAAGAACATTTCCAGGACAGCGGTGCACTGGGTGAGAATCACGTGCCAGACGGATAAATCGCTCTGCGCCTGTGAATTTGGACGCAGGAGCCAGGGGCACCGGCGGCGGCTGGACGCCGGTGCCCCCTGGTGCCCGACGTCCACCGTCCATGAGCTCCTGCCAAGGCTCGCGGCGGGGCCGCCTGCTGGGGCGCCTCATTTTCGGGGCCTGTATGGCACCGACACCACCTTGCCGCCGGTGGTCTTCCGGCACTGCAACCTCGGGCAGCAGTGGGGGAATTTCTTGGTGCGGGAGACGGCCGTCCTGCGGCAGCCGGGCTTTTGCGCGATGATCGGACACCTGCCGGCCAACAGGAGCACGTGTCGGCGCACGGGCGTCCAGGCCCGTCCCTGGCAACCACACGCTGTCCGGTGCGCCCGGGCTCACAAGCACCTCTGGAACCCTAGTCATGTGCAACTTTGGGCAACATTTGAGTGCTGGCATATTTGAGCTAAAGGATGGTGCTTATGTTGTCGCCAATGTATATCTAAGCGACCAAAACGGTACTGCAGACTATTCAAATTGCACATACTGTTTTGTGTTATCGTTTTGGGTTTCGAACCACTGCTCGGCGTGGTTTATCGTTGTGGTCGTGACATGACTAACCCGGGGGATAAATGCCAGCTCAGTGCATAAGTTTTGCCGAAATCTTTGAGCGTGCTATGTAATGACGTGGGACGGCCGTCAGGAGTGAACTTGACCCCTGACTGGTAGTCGCAGACCGTCCGCGGCAAATGGCATCAGAGCAGCTTCTGAAACGCGAACCTCACCTGCCATACCACTGTCACTTTGGACACGTCCAGCACTCTACCAACTGGGCTGCGGAGACGGCAAAATGCATGTGATCCAACCGCTGCCATGCCGTGTTCTACCTCACATTAGCAGCTGTACCTGAGAGCACGAACCACGACTACGTGTGCTTCAGACGATGACTGACACCTGCGGCAATGTCCTTCATCCCAACGTTACCAGAGCGCCGCCTCCGCAAGACTCCAGTGAGGTGGCCCCGTCATCGGACGGAGCCCCGGCCAGCGCGCCGCGGCCCACCTCGCGCGCTTTCTTACGAGTCTTCGGCGATGGTGAGCTGCATCTTTCCGGCGGCGTTCTCGCGCAGTACGCAGGTGGCCTGCTTGCAGCCGGTGGTGGTCCAGGACTCGCCCACCTTGGAGCGCACGCCCGTCCGGTTGTCCTGACACTCGTCGGCGTGACCTGGAGCGGCCGACGACGTCAGAGGTCACCGAGGTCACGGAAAGGGGGCGGTGCGGCCGGCGAAGACAGGCAAGGGACAGGGCCCCCGCTAGCCGTGCCCCAAAACGTCTCGACAGCGAATAACGATAGCTTGCAACCTTCCCTTATGGATCAAATTCAGAGCTCTACGAATTCGGAAAAGGACCATATTGCAGTGCTGTTTCTACGTCCTCTAGCATCCGTCGCATCCTTCCGGCGAATCCCGGTAATGTGGTGGACATCATTTTTGCGATTTGTCCAAATTGTTTGGAAAACGTAGTTACTCTCTAGGGTGTTCCGATCAGAACATAGTGAAATCTTCAAAAAAAACTTCAGAAACGAGCCCATATGCGTCGAGAGCGATGCAGAACGCTTCGGAAAACATAGTTACTGTCTAGGGTGTTCCCATCAGAACAGAGAGAAATCTTCAAAAAGCTTTAAAAACGAGCCCAGATGCGTGGAGAGCGGTGCCGAACACTGATCCGCACAGGATGCGTGCGTGCAGTGCACAGGTAAGGCCGCCACGAGCGATGCATTTCCAAGCTACCGGGCCGTGGCGGCGGACCGCTGCCGTCTCACCTGGCGCAGGTGAGACGAAGTACTCCTGATGCGTGTGCACGGCCGCAGCCAGATGCACGGCGCAGGCCGCCAGCAGCACGTACTTGATCATGATGAAGACTGGCGCTGCTCTGGGGCCGGCGGCCGGCCACGCCGCCTAAATACGGCATCGCCGCACGGGCGCACCCACCTGCCGGCCGCCCCGCCCCCAGCGGCAGCATCCGGGTGTCTCGCCGGACGGGCCGGACGGATCGGCGCTCTTGCCGCGGGGCGCCGGGTCACGGCGGCCCGCGCCGGTCGCCGGGGGCGGCCGTGACCGGTGACCTGCGCCGCCCCGAGGGCGAAGGACCGGAACCGGCCTTGCCACGCGGATGCTGAAACTTGTTTGGTTAATCGTTCATCTGCGACGCGACAGCTGCCAAGTCCCCTGCTTCTCCGCGTCCAGCCGTGGACGTAGGTGAGCTTCACGTTTGGACACGCCGGGTGACCCAGAGGAGTGGTCCGGACTATGTGAGAGGTAGTAAGGCGTGGGTAGTGAGCATGTCAAGGAGGAGTAAGTCGGAAGGCTTCGTCTCATGAGGCGAAATGTCTCTTCCAGTGGTCGCTGTCGTCGGTGCAGTACCAGGTGGCCGAGGGCACGACGGTGCCGCAGTGCCACCAAGGACACAATTTCGGAAGATGCTCACCATGGCGATGAGCGGATAGCACGATTATTCCCAGTGCATAGTATTATACCCCCAGCCGGAGTACTAAGCCGTTCCTGGAAATAACAAAGCTAGCGTGTCTTGGTCTTATGAGCTTTAAATGTAGTTGTCTTTGCATTTGTCAAAGTTGCAGGTGCAGGGGGAGATTATTACGTCTAAGAATAGCAAGGTAGTCTGACTTCGTCAAGTACATTCCTGCATGTATAATGATGGTTGCTAATCATACCCACAAAAGTGCAGCCGAGAGGGAAAGCTTTTGGAGTCACATCCCGCTGACAACGGCGGGCCCACAGGACCGAAGGCTCCAGTACTCTCAACACTCCAGTGACGCGAGACTTGGTCTGGGTGCTGTGCGGTAGCGTCATAGTGCAGATACCGACACGCGGTGGAAGGCTTTGGGTGTGAAGCAGCGCGCCCTACTTGGTCACTTTGCCGGGCACGCGTTAGTCTTCGCTGACAAAGCAAACGGTAAGCTGTTCGGATGGGGCGTCACGTGTTATCCTGGCAGGCGTTTTGAAACCCACAACGCAGCGAAGTCTCCGCCACATCGATTTAGCCTCGCCTTTCGTGATCCACCCTGAGAATGATCGCGGGTGTCACGCCGTGATGCCTAGCGTGCCGACTCCTACGGGAGCCGTGACCGTGCTGCGCCCGGGCCCGTCGGCGGAGGCTCGCCTGAGACGCCGCAGCAGGTCGCCCGTTCCGTCCGTCGGCCACAGGTAAGGTCGCATCAGGCGGATCGAGCGAAGTGGGGTGTGGACATCAGTGACGGGACCGCACAACTGGTCAACGTATTGCCACTTACCAGTCACGGCCGCAGGTGGAAACATCAAACTCCATTCAGCAGTAATGGCGTGGAGGTGAACTGAAGGCACGTCAATGCGGCGCAGAGCACGAGCACGTGCACAAGTGGTAACAGGCAGGAAACAAAATCTGGTAGGTACAGAAATCAAGGCACTTGAAAAACGATTTGGACTCAAATTGCAGAAACGGGTGTTATTGTGCTTGACTATACTGACATCATAAAGAGCTCTAAATGCCTAGAATATATCCTGATAAATATGCGTCATTTTACTGGGGATGACGTACTGCAGCAACGAAAAGCCGATGAAAATGCATACAGCCATATCATGCCACTATCACAGTCAGGCTTCTTGGGGACGCAGTTGAGATTAGGACGTATCGCAGCCTTCGCACGGGAATAGTCAAGTCAGCAAATGCTGGTGATGCATCTTCGCACTGGCGAAGTCCACCTTCAGGTCAGCAACTGCGTGCCTTTGAGGCCGATGACTAGAGCGGAGTTGTCGTTGATGATGGAGTTAGGTATGCCGCGCGGCCTACAGGTTACCATCGTGCTTGACAAGCGCCCATGCGACTCCAGCTCGCTGCCGGAATAGTACGGTGTGATTGTTTTGACGCGCGTCACACTGATCCCGTCCCGAGCCTAGCACTGCACTGACGTCATGCCCTCGGCTATCCGGCACTGCACCGGCGTCATGTCTTCGGCCATCTGGCACTGCGGCACCGTCGTGCCCTCGGTCATCTGGCACTACATCACCGTCATGCCCCCTGCCCATCTGTCACTGCACCGTCGTCGTCGTCGTCGCCATAGTTGCAGGCCGTATCTCTTGTGTAACAAAGGCATATGTGCCATTTAAGTCGTTTTACGCTTGTACACTTACCTTTGAATCTTGCATCCTTGACATCCTCAATGTGCGAAAGTGGTTCAAAGCCGTCATGCATTACCACTCGCTGTTGCAGGCATTGATGCAATTATGTGTGTTATTTATAGCGCCATGTTTTGTTTTTATGCTTTGATTTCTTCCAGCACCTCTTCTGTGTTTTCTTCAAATCATGCACCCCCTCATCATTAGGCAGTTTTCTGCATTTCTGCATCGTCACAATAATAGTCTTCATAGTCTTTATTTCTGCATTGTCACAATAATAGGCAAAACGCTGGGATCAATTACAATCACAGCATGAACGCGATGCTTCACGACTTGAACACAAAACGGTCTTGTCTTGCATATCGCTTTGCATCGAAGTGAAGAGTTACATCCTTCCAGTCTGGTGCTTTGGAAATCATCAACATTAATTCGTGAGTCAGTTCCGATGAGGAAGAGGGCAAACAGCAATGGGAAGCACGTCATCCCGATAACAGTCAAGAAGATCATTCTCAAATTGGGTCCTGACTGAAGAACCGGGGCCAATCCTCATGGCTGATGGGATCGGCGTCCGTTACTCTGAACCTAGTCGGGTGTGTCGTTTGAACTAAGTTGCCGATACAAAACCGCAAGCGCCGGCGGTTTTCACATTATTTCTCCTCAATGACACAGCCGACAGTGTCAACTAAAATTTTGACCGCTCGCGTTGCTGTAACTGCCAATTTGTTCGGGGCATCAACGGTAAAATACCCAGGTGAAATACAAGGCCGAACCTTGCAACGCATGAACTGACTTCTTAAAGCGCTTGGAAGCACTACTCCCCGATATGTGGTCTTGCCCATCTGACCGCAGCCGCCCTTCCTGCTTGGGTGAGAGGCGGGCGGCGCCACTTAGTCTCAGCAGCTGAGTGAGTCGCAAACACACACACACACACACACACACACACACACACACACACACACACACACACACACACACACACACACACACACACACACACACACACACACACACACACACACACACACACACACACACACACACACACACACACACACACACACACACACACACACACACACGCACACACACACACACACACACACACACACACACACACACACACACACGTGCACACACACACACACACACACACACACACACACACACACACACACACACACACACACACACACACACACACACACACACACACACGACTGCAGGCTGTTGCCAACCTGTGTCTGCGACCAAGACAAAGAACGTGCGCGGTCAAGGCTAATGCATAAATCCGCGGTTGGAGAGGCTTAAGGGTTCAATACATTGTCCAGGCTTAACGCTGTTACGTCTCACGCTGTTGCCAGAGGCCCTTATGCTGACACACGCGGAGAGAGCGGAGGTACCACATGCTGCCAGTTCGCTCAGAGCATCAACGGCGAAATACACAGGTGAAATACGAGACGGGACATGTTGTCGACGCGCGTGCACCGACTTCTTCAAACGTTTGGAAGTGCTACTTTCCGATACGTGGTCGTGCTCATCTGACCGTAACAGTCCTTTCTGCTTGGGTGAGTCCTGCCGGGGCACTGTCGATCGCTAACGGGCCTTCCACATTGCTCTTGAGTTTCCCGCCTTTGCTCGGAGGACACTTCGCTTTTGACGAGGGAGGAGGACCTGGAAAGACCATGCGATGTCGCCGAAGCCGCATAACTAAACCTGCCGAGAGCTCTCAGTCGCTCAGGGGTGGTTCGCATCGGTCTCAGATTTTTTCCACTTTCCCAGAAGGCCCTGTGCTGTTACTGGAGGTCATATAAGTAAACCCACCGCAATATTAGATGTTCAGACGCCCACCCCACTGCTTTAAGGGCTCTTAGCATTTGCTGTCATTTGCTGAGGCCCCTACAGGCTCGCCCGGCCCCTTCTGCTGCCCTGGTCGGGCTCTCTTGATCACCCGGCGCCCACACCATGGGTCTTGCATGCTGTACATCTGCTCGGGCCCCTACGTTGTCGCCGGAGCCCTATGCGTTCATCTGTCAAGACAACCTGGATCACTTAGGGGCTCTCCACCTTGCTTTTGGGTTCTCGGCGTTTGCTTGGAGGGGAAAAAGAAGAAAAAACAGGCAGTCTCAGAGCCAGGTGGAAGAGCGAGGTGAGTGCCCATAGGCAGTCAGTCAGGCTTGGTATTGGGCCTGGACCAATCACATAGATGTCCACATCCTTACCCGCCGACGTATTCAATGCCTTAATGGTAGCATTGGTGTAATCACTGGGGGCAAGAGAACATATTATCCTTTAATTGTCCCAAAATGAAGCAAAATGAGATTTTGTGCCTCTATATTTTGCCCATGCAGTGCAAGCATTCTTACGTTTTCATATTAAAAGTTTCACATTATTTTTGGCTTAGGTTACCCCGCCCCCTCCTCCAGGACTCCACTTTGACCCCAACCCCGATATGCCTCTTTCCCAATCACAGGGACGTCGCTACCAGGGGTGGAAAAGCTTCTGATTCACCGGATATGATAGGTGACAAAAACTGACACTTTCGGAAACCACTTGGTGACAAAATTGCACAAACGCAACTAAATTTCAGCAGAACAGATCACATTACAACTCAATATCCCAGCTAGAGGAAACTCAAGGCTCAGCACTGGTCTGTACTCGTGAACACTTGCAGCGTGAGCAAGTGTAGAACACATTTCGAAATGTTGCCGTTTCGCTGTATGAGCAAGTTGAACCATAATATATTGCCAGA